ATAATTTGAGTTGAGAAGTATAAACATACAAAGAGCTATTGTAATTGGTAAACCAAGCAATTTAGTTAAGAGTATTGGTATTTTAATATTTATGCATCTTTGATTGAGTATATATATATATTTATCTTCAAATATCACAATTAAAAAAATAAAAAATAAAAAACGCCCAGAAACCGCTTAGGCGCCCGCCTAGACGACTAAGCGTTGGGCGCCAAGTTCGACGCGTAGAAGCGCCCAGCGTTTAATGTAACATTGATCGAAAATAAAATTAGGATAATTATAAAAATTTATCCCACTTTTTCCACATCCCTATACAAATGAGAGGGTTCTAATCTCTCAAATTATCCAAGTATTTTGCTATAACTTGATCATAAAAAACTATTTGTATGACATTATTTGTTTAGCTAATAATAATATACCTATTATCTTTTTTTCACTGTGAGGTCATTTACTGTTTAGACAACTTTTGCATGAATTTTGTCACGCCTCGGGCCTGCAGGCCCGTTGGAACGTGCAAGCCATAGGACTCACCGAGTGTAACACACTGTTTGGCTCAAACACTGCCAAAATCAACTAGCCGATGTTACACTTGAGTCTTTAGCTTTCACTATATAAATACCTCAATTTTCCACTCTCCCACCGATGTTGGACTAAATTAGTGGGATGTCACATTTGGTTACACTTGAGTCTTTAGCTTACACTATATAAGCACCTCAATTTTCCACTCTTCCACCGATGTGGGACTAAATTAGGGGGATGTCACATTTGGTATAAATGCGACATCCCACTAATTTAGTCCCACATCGGTGAGAGAGTGGAAAATTGAGGTGTTTATATAGTGAAAGCTAAAGACTCAAGTGTAACATCGGCTAGTCGATTTTGGCAGTGGTTTGAGCCAAACAGTGCGTTACACTCGGTGGGTCCCATGGATTGCACACGCCAACGGGCCTACGGGCCCGGGGCGTGACAAATTTAGCACCATTAAAAATGAGTACTAGTAATCAGGTTGGATACTGAAGTTCTCAAAATGTTTAATGTAACAAGCTTCAACCAATAACACAAGATCAACGCTATGTTGTTGTATTAGTTTTCTTATCTCTATAATATTTTTGTGCAATGCTATCTCAGTCATGTTTATATCCATTTGTAACTTATTTCTTTAACTTTTGGTGCCTTAGGATCCATGTGCTGTCATGCTGAACACAGCTGTCAAAGCATCAAACTATCTCAGGTTTAAACATTGAATATGTTCTTGGAAAATACACTACATTCATCAAACTGACATTATTTCTTAATCTTGTCTCTTCTTAGATTTGCACCGGAAAAGCTTGAAGACCTTGAGGATTTTGTGAGGGAGTTTTTCGAAAGCCTCCCTAGTGTTCCCATAGTTTGTATAAGCTTGCTTGAAGGCGATTATGCCAACCTTATTGGTGAAACACTGCTTCTTCCTTCCTTCGTACCTGCTTGGATGCTGCTATCACGTCTAAATGGAGTTGGGCAACCAATTTCTATGCTTCTTCCTGTTGATTGCATTCCAGAAGGTATGCAATTCCTTAGAAAGGTTAAGATGTAGATAACCAATTCTGTAATAAAATTGTAATGATGTATTCATTGTCTTATCAGAAGTTCAGTTTAAATCAGTGGAGGAATGGCAGTGCCCTTGGGGTTACAGTGTTGTAGATAATGTAGCTCCAGTCTTCAAGCAGCTTTTGAAAGAGAATTTCTTGTCATCCACTATGACAAATACCAGTGCAGATGCGAAGATCAACAACATCAATTGGTGGTCTCAGAGGAGCAGTCTTAATGATTGCCTAAACAAGTTTCTGAAGTAAGCTTGCGCCATTGCTGGCTTTACCAACTTGAACTATAGATTTTTGCATGCCCACCATTTTCCCTTTATTAAATGTTGTTATGGTCGTTATAGTTTCCAACTTCATGTGCAAGTATGTAAAGGTTACGTCATCAGCATTATCAAATGGTTTTTGCCATCAAACAGTCGTGGTAACTTTTAGCTGAGATTGCTAAGTAGACTCATTTGAAGAGTTCACCAATGATGATATTATGCTGTTTGGGAGATAGGTTCCAGCAATCATACACCAACTCTCTGAAGTTCTCTTGAACTAGGTCTTTAAACAAGATACAGTACATATTAATGGCAGTTGCTCTTGTTGAAAGGATCATTGCAGATAAAGAGCAATATTGAAGCACACTACTGCATAAAGTTTTACAACATCCTTAGCTTTTTGGCATCTTTGTTCAAATAACAATTTAGGTTTCTTTTATAGGCTAGCATCTGCTGTACTATTTAAAGGTGAAAGTGGTCAAGATGGAAACTAACCTGGTGTTTGTTTTATTGTCGAAATCAGATCCATGGAAGATTCATGGCTTGGGCCATGGGCTTGCTTGTTGCTTGGTGAGCTTTCAGACGTTGACTCTGTGAGCAAGATGGTCAAAGAACTTATAAATGAACTGGAGCTTCATTGCGAAGTGGAAGCAAATGTTAGTCTCCTCACAGCTATTCTTGGTGGTTCTAAGTCTATAGCTGATGCGGAGGCATGCATTTCTCAGTTTCTGCTGTACAAGGGCTACTTTGGTAGGGGAGCATGTTGTGGAAAGGAAAGATTGAGGGTCTTCTCCACTGCTTGTACTAAAAAAATAAGTATTCCTGAAAACGTTTATAAGGTGATAGTAGAGATGGTTGATCAAGTTGCGGAACCAGCTGATAGAGAGCCCGTAATTTTAGTATTGGATTCCGACGTGCAGGTGTGTCATCAAACATCTGATACATTGTTCACTTAAAATTTTCTGTTCAATCCTTGCTCATATCTTTGATTGCGGATATATTTTCTCCAGCATACCATATCTGGCAGCTGCAATCTCTCTTTACAATCGTGGTTTTGTACTATTATTTTACCCTAGGATTAAAGTCAGTATTCTGCGAGATTTGGCAGAGAAGAGTGTATTTAAGATATTACCTACAGTGTGATGACCTTGTTGTATAGTGCTGTATCTTGCAATTGAAAGTCTGTTATTTTCATATGTGATTGATTACTAATAAATAAATTTGTTAAACGGGTCTGTAAACACTTTCCCATGTCCCATCATTATGCTATGTTTATATTATGTTATCGAGGCATCTTTTGCTTTTAATGTGTAATAATCCGTGAGCAATTTGAGGGACACACTCGTATCACAGAAATCTCTGTTGTTTTCATATTTGATTGATTACTAATAAATGAATTTGTTAAACGGGTCTGTAAACACTTTCCCGTGTCCTATCATTGTGCTATGTTTATATTATGTTATTGAGGCATCTTTTGCTTTTAATGTGTAATAATCCGTGAGAGCAATTTGAGGGACACACTCATATCACAGAAATCTTCTTAAGTACATGAAAGTTAGCTGGTTATCTTTAAGGATTCAATCTGATATTGGTGCTTGACACTATATGCAGATGCTTCCTTGGGAAAATTTACCGACATTAAGGAGGCATGAGGTTTATCGCATGCCATCTGTAGGCAGTATCTCTCTTACACTCAGAAGGTGTTCTTACTATCAAGAACTGAAGAACACATTTGGTTCTGGCTTTCCACTTGTCAACCCGTTGGACAGTTATTACTTATTGAACCCCAGTGGTGACCTCGGCGGTACACAAGTTGAATTTGAACAGTGGTTCAGAAATCAAAACTGGAAAGTAAGCTAATGTGTTTAACTTATTGAAATTACTTCCATTTTTTCTCATATTCTTTTTTATTTCTCCTTATTTTTATTTTATTTGTTTACTTTTGCTTTATAACTATGTGCATGCAAGATTCCCTTCTTCAGCATTCAAATCTAACTACATCCCCAAGACTCTCTTCTTATATTCTAGCTCTTGCTGGGCACCTCTATGCTGCTTTTAGTTTGCTTCATATTTTCAGACATGGTCAAGATATGAATGTCATACTTTAAGATGTGCATCTTGTCTGTCAAAATAAATGTAGCTAAAAGAAGTAAATTAGATATTTATGAATTTTCTAACCAATAATAAAGGAGTTATTAGGATTGCAGAAGAGGATATTTTAATATAATCATGCCGCATAAATTTGCACATAGCTTCTAACTTTCCATAGAGAAGCTATGTTTAAACTTGATTTCTCAATTACTTCAAAATTAAATTGAATTGGTTTCTAATTGTGAGTAGTGTAAAAAATTTACTCAGGTGTTTGACTGAGATGTTCTTTCAGGATTGCTATTAAGATAGTTTTTTAAAAACTATTATATACCCTTGTTATTTTATTGGGTTCAAGACACTTTTTCAGCCATTTATGTAATTAATACGGTGTTTGCCCTTTGTTGTCTACTGGACAGTCTTTGGTGATGTTTACTCCATGGGTTATCCGAATGCATATTTCTTGATGCAAGTATATTGTACTTTGTGTATCTTATACAGGGAGAAGCTGGAAAAGTGCCAAGAGTCGAGGAGCTGGTTTTAGCTTTGCAGAATCATGACTTATTTTTGTACTTTGGTCATGGGAGTGGTATGTTTGCCCAATTTCCCATTTTATCTTCTAAATCTGCCTCATGTTTTTCTAAGCTTAACTTCTGAGAACTAGTTTTTAAAGCAGGAATGCATATATTTCCCAGGGGAGAATAGAGAGATCAGAGACTAGAAAAATTGCTTGCTATGCTTCTTATGGGCTGCAGTAGTGGTTCTTTGACATACAAAGGATGTTATGCACCTCGAGGTGCACCTCTTTCCTATTTATTTGCCGGTTCTCCTGCTGTCATTGCAAATCTTTGGGAGGTAACAGATAAGGATATTGATAGATTTGGAAAAGCCATGCTGAAGTCATGGCTACAAGAAGAGCCTGCCGTTGAGAAATGTACTCAGTGCAAACAATTAGTGAAAGAATTTGGGCGTCTAGAAATAGATGAAAAAAGGAGTACTGCCCCTAAAGCTAGAAGGAAAGCCTCCAAAAGTAAGAAGTTGCAGGACTCTTCAGATAATGGTATCTGCAGATCTTGTCGAGGGAAGACAATTGCATCGTGCATGAGTGAAGCACGGGATGCTTGTAAGCTCCCATTTCTGATAGGAGCCTCTCCAGTCTGTTACGGAGTGCCTACAGTGATAATGAAGTCATAATTGTAGATTGCCTTTTAATTGCATCCTCCATTTTAGGACTCGCTGAGTATCGAACCATGTCATTTGCGGTTCTTGGGTTGGTGCAAACCTCCCTTCTGGGGCTTTCAATTTTGGTTCTGAAAGTTCCTCTTGTTCAACAAAATCATACATCATTCATGGATTATACCAATAACATCAGCATGTGAAGCTGCTCGTAATACAATTTTCTATATGTAGGAGTTTGCCAGTCCATGTATGTCTACATAAATTGTTACACATGTATAGTCAAAAGTTCCATTAATTTATGTTATGTTTTGTGAACGTGAATTCAAGTTTTGTTGCTTATATTTGGGCTGCTTCTGAAGATTGCTAAGCTGAGAAGCGTCTAAAAGCCCTCAGAAAAGGTAACGTGCAGCCATGATCTTGGGTTAGTTTGCTTTCCTACAAGATGATTTTTCAAATATATCGTATGTATCAGCTTTAACATTTCAAATTCTCAGAATATTTTCTCTCTATTCCTTTGCATGTTTGTAACCATATGCATGTTGATGTGTTTTCATTGTGAAACTGTATGAACATGGGACCTCTTTGGCTACAAGGTATGTACTATTTCAAGGGGTAAATGAAGAAGGAATTCGCTCATTTCATTTTCCCGGCAATATTGCTTCATGCTTGTTCATTGTGTTTTGCCTTCAGGAAGTTCTTTTTGTTCCTTTTTGCTTTGGACTAAAAGATGGTTTTTGGTTGGAACACGTGATGAGGTGGTTCACGGGCAAAGAACTACATAATTCGCTTGACGTCAATTTTCATGCTTGTATTTGAAATATGGCTATGGATTAGATATTGGCAGAAAGGGAGGCTTGTTTTTGAGTATGTGGGTGCCCATTTTCTTAAATGAGATATCAAAACACGAAGGGTGACGAGATTCATGCATCTGATGTGACTATTAAGGTGGATTTCACCACTAGTCCATTCTTGGACAGCTCATTTAGTTTAAATGAGTTATAAATTAATATTCATTTTTTAATATCTAACTACATAGCTGAGTATATTAAATTTGTCAAAATGATATTGTATTTTATGTAAATCAAGTATTGCGCAATGTGATATCCTTGCTAACAGAAGGAGAAGCTTATGCAAATCTTCTATATTTTTTATATTTTCATATTAAAGATTTTTAAAGCTAAGTGTCTAGCTTGCTTGTTTTTGAATTTTGAATCCGATCGAAATTCTGAGATAATCCGTATATGGATACTTACGTGCTAAAGACAAATGAAATGTAGATATGGTAATAGACATGATAATGTCCATATTATATTTGTTAAGCATAGTATTTTTACTACTTACACTTTTCCTTCTGAAGGACCTTTTTCTTAAAGAAACTTCTGGAGGATATTAGAGGTCAAAATCCCTTGGGAGGCTGATAACGTAGCGCTGATAACTTGCAAGCGTTGTGAGTTATCTTTTGATGTTTTCATGGACATGCATTTTGGAGAAAGGTTCCGCAGTTCAGTTGTCATCTGATGCTAGCCTGTACAAATACACAAGAAAAGCTTTAGATAAAGTGACTCGTAATTTTGTGGAACATTCTTTTAATCTCTGTAGAAATGCGTCTAAGCACAACATTGGATAAAAACAACAAACAATAAGTCCAGTGACGCTTTCTGAATGTAGCATTTGTTTATTTAGTCTAGCGCAATGTTTATCAGGCTAAACAAAATAATGAAAGTAAAGAGAATCACACTTCAAAACGGAATCAAGAAAAGTTCTTTGAATTCGGTCAAATTGTTTACAGAAGGAGAACAAGATTTGAATGCAGCTCGTCTCAGCAAGAGTCTGACCGATAGGACAAACAACAATGATGCTACATGTGGAAACAACGATATTTCGCAGGATACTCTGAGCCATCAAAATTCCAAAGTGCAAGCAAATGGGAATCTTTCCACTGAATTTGGATGCATGCATATCGAACAACCTAAAATGTTGGAGATGCCTTCTTGTGAAAGCGATTGTCGATGGGGTTATGCAGAATATTAGTAACATAAAATGGGAAAGCCGTCGCAAAATCCTGAACTTCAACTGCGTTTAAAGACAGGTAATACCTGCTGCCTTCGCGATTTTCTAATCTATAGCTATGAAATGTTTTCGAGATTTTCTGATCTCTAGCTATGAAATGTTTTCTCGCCCGTTATGGTTAATAATGCTTGACGACCTGCAAATAAATTTTCGAGGTAGAAGAGAGCCTTCCAAAAGTGCATGTTTGCATGGGTAATACCAAATACTCGTGTTAATGGCTGGGCCTAAAATAACTCATTCTCCAATTTTACTTGTGCTTCAAGTGGAATACGTACAGAGTTTAGCTTCTTCAGCGGATTTAGTACTAAAGGCCTAAAAACAAATGTACAAGATAATCTCTATGTAGTTTCACCGATGTATCTCAAGGACACAAGATGTACTGTGGAAGTCTTGCATTCCAAAAGCGCTAAAAGAAGATGTAGTTTTCTTCTTTTTCTTTTTTTTTCCCGGTAAGTAAATATAAACTTTAGGGTATTACCATAGCAAACTTTGAAGTACATGCCCCTTGTACGCTATAAAACTCTTCACAACTCGAAGGCACCGGAAAAAAAAAAACGCTCAGCACAGACTGATACATACAGTGAAGAGGCAAAACATCAAAACCAAAAGAATCTAACAAAAGATCAAAATTGTTTCAAAAGCTGATGCTGTTTCTCCCGCGAACAAAAAACAGGGAATAATTTCATTAATTCGCACCATTCCCTGTTTTTTTAGTGTCCTTCAGCGTGTCAATCCTGCTAGCTTGAATTTTTATCTCAAAGATAATAGCTCGCACACACTCCTCAAAACCTACCTTTGTTGTCGAAAGATAACCAGTTCCTTGCTCCCAAAATGTGGTGTATACTCAGCTGCAGCCCTCTTGACAAAAGAAGATGTAGTTCTATCACGAAAGTAACAGTTGAGGCTAATGTCACCTTTGTACTTACATTCTAGAATAAAAGAACTGGATTGAAAGGGCATTTAATACGGACCGAGATCAAATAAGTGACTGGAAAACGCTGATGGGGAAAGGAGATATCAACGTTCTTCAATTGGTAATAACAAATAGCTCATCAAGGGCCTTCTACAGAAATTTCATTGTCTAGACCGTAGGTTTATAGGAAGTGCTTCTTCTTTGGGAGCTTCTAAATGCAGAATTCAAATATGGGCCACTTGAGGTGATTCTCTGGGGGCATCAAGAGCGTTGGAATGATAAAACAATGTATTACGCATTGATAAGAAAATGTTGTTACAAGAGCTCTATATACTACTTCGTTTGGAAAAATTCTTAGGTGCTCTATGAGCATACGCCACAGTGACCACACCAATAGGAAGAGGGTATGTAGCATAAGAAAAAATATTTAATTCCATCACCTTCTCATTTACAAGTGATCTATGTCACATAGTCTTTTTCTATTGGTGTAGTGTAGTGCTCATGGAGCACCTAAGAATTTTCCTTTGCAAGAGATCAGATATAAACTTAAATATTCAGGATCTTTGACAAGTTGACTTGTTTATACTTACCCTCTTGTGCAGAGACATTACCATAATCGCCTTTCTCCTGGTAAATATCAGTCAGGTGCCATAATGCACGCTTACTCAAAAAAATTGATCTTCACCTATATAGATCAAGGAAGAAAAAGAACAAAATGCGTTCAGAGTCTTTTGCATCTAAAACCAGTATGAAAAAAGAAGGCAAAATTGACATGCGACTCTTTACCTGAAAAAATAATAATCTCTGGCCAGTTAATTTATGTTTACAAAAGTTGAAAACTCCATAAGAATAAACTGAGCAAGTATAAAAAGTATTGATTGAGGTTATATCTTGACTGGTCTACAGAATATGCTATTACAATCTATCTGTCCGTACTTATGGTCCTAATACCAGATTCCAGAAAAGAAAGACAGAAAACTGAAGAAAAAGCTTCCGGAAAAAGAAGCAAATTAGCGGGAATAGTCTTATCATCCAAAGTTCCAAGAAAGGCACATAATAAAAAGAGTTCGATCTCTATATATTTTATTATACATCACATTGGCACCAAAATAGACAAGTACCCAAAGAGCAATTGCTGTACATACATGCAATTAAGCATCTTATCTCTCGAGAACAAAACATGAAATCAACGTGCAACTGTCTATACATTAGAAGATACACATATATGCGTAGCATGGAACCCACCCAACAATCAGAACATCAAACCTGGGTTATTTCTCATTATCAAACGCAAAGGTGATGGGCAGCAGATGTTTCCAATGAGGAGCTATTGATGCATTGATGATGGTGGAACTGGATAAGCAACGGGCATAACATAAGGTGGATGTCCATGAGGAGGAAGCATAACTGGAGTACCGACAGCAGAGACCATATGACCAGTAACAGGATGACCCATAGGCGGTCCATACATTCCAACCCCAGGCATAGCTGGAGGGTGTTGGGGATGCTGAGAAGGGTGTTTCATAGAAGATGATGCAGCTAGAGCTGGAGGATTTCCATTGGACTGACCAGTAATTGGCCCCTGAGGAGAGGCTACATCACCACCATTGACCATTGTAATGTCATGGATGCTTGATCTCCTGCGATCCTTGTTCATGGAATTTAAGCGGATAAAATACTTTTGGGCATGACTTGCTACCTGAGTTGGAGTCCTTGATACCACAAAGTTTCTTGATATGCTACGCCAATCACCCTTCCCAAACTTGTCGAGGCCAAGGAGGAACAGCCTAATATATGATTGGAAACATGTGATTAGCTCATACATGGACATCAGAATTTAAAACTTTGATTTGAATCTGTCCTTCAATGTTTAGGGGATGCATGATAGCATAAATAAAAGTTGGATTTTATCTTGTAGATTCAAACAAGACAGATTTTTCGACAGATTCCCATACCCACCAAAGAAAGCTGATTTATGTGTAATCGCTTCAGAGATAAAAATATGAGTAGCCAAAGAAGACAATGAATGAACATAAAAAACAAAAATGGATTCAAACCATTAAAATATCAGAGAACTGAAAAAGTAACATTCATTGTGGTGCAAAAACAAGAGAACCGAAGTAATGTGAGATGATGGACAGAATATACCGATCTTGAAAAACTACCATAAAACATGGAGTTGTTATATCACCGGGTTACATGTTATGTATAAGTTTACTTTCATATACAGTATAAATGATAAATGATAGAGCACAGAAGCAAACATAAGAATCTACAGCAAGAAATATGCTCGTATACTCCACGTGCCACTACGCATAAACTCAGCTACGTCGTCTCATCTCCACTACCTACCACCTGGCCTCCATCTTACATTCCATATCAGTTTAAGCTTATGACAAGTAGACATAGACGCCTAAACCCACTAACATAGGCATGGGATATCAAACACCATAATTGTCTAAGAATCTGGATACGAAGATATATGTAATGTATTTTGACTCCAGAATATGTTTATTTGTAGATACTATATGTGTGTATGTGTGTACATATATATGTAATAATATACGGAATAACAACTTTTTGAGAAAATGACGCAATATAGCACATTTTATATATTACCAATTCTGATTCAATTTTCAAACACATGTCATATCTAGGTTTGCCAAACATTCTCAATATTTTGTTGCGGAAAACAACCAGCAACATAACGTAGCACCCCCAATGATGTCACCTACACTTACTACCCCAAAATCACTGCTCTCGATCTTCCAAAGTTCAATTTACGAATAATACTAATAAAACATATGAAACACCAAAACTTAAAAGGACTTAAAACCAATCCAATTCTAGCTAGATTGAACTTTCGAATTCATGTAACTGCAACAAAATCAGCAAAAACTAATCAACAAAGGTGAGATCTTTTTCACCTGTGCTCTTCCTCGGTCCACGGGATCCCCTTCCTCCTCTCCTGCTCCGCCTTCGAGCAAGCCTTCCCCTCGAACCCTCGCCTCTCTCCAAAACCCCCATGACTCTGATACTGCTGACTCTGCTGACCGCCATTACTCTGCTCCTTCTCCTTCTCCTTAACCTCTTCCCCCAAATACCTCGGCAACCGCCGAACTTTTCCCAGCCTCATCGCCTCCAATCCTCCACAGCACCTACGAAATGTCTCCTCACCTCCTCGCCGCCCGCTCTTCGTCGAAACCCTATGCCGCGATCTCATCCCAATACGAGGAATCGATCTTGCTTCCGTCGCCGCCGCCGCCGCCTGCGACGGTGGCTATGGCGTTCTCGAAGGCCTTCTCCTCGTCCCAGCTCCATCTGGCTCCCTCTCCTTCCTCCGGCGATGACGCAGGCATGGCGTCAGGTTCCTAATCTCTAGACTACGATTTGTGTTCCGGTCATCGGAGGTACAGGATAAGGAATCGGGGATGGTGGGGGTTCACTGTACCGTGATTGGTCAGTGGCTTGGAATCGCTATCCTGTTCTTTGGGCGGATTTATTACGGGCGCAGGAAAAAGGAGGCGCAGCACGGGACAAGCAAAAGGGAAATGGCGGTAACAAGGGGTAATCTGGCCTTTTAACTTTCCTTTTACTTAAGTATTTTTCCACGCAGCTCCCTGTATGATGCGTTATTTGCATATTGAATTATCGATTTTCTGGCAAGTTTGATTTTGTTCTATCATTATGATCTAAGAATTTACTTAATTTATATTCTTTTTTTTTTTTTGAAAAGGAAGGTAGGTCCTAACCAGCCAAGTCTCAACAACACTCTGTCTCAAAAACAAAGGGATGGAAACAGACCAAAAACAAGATGATAAATAATCAACCGACTTAGTTAGGAAATGAGCAACAACATTACCAGTGTGCCTTACATAAGAAACTTTAGTGCAACCAGTAATAGTCAGACCAGCGCGAACTTCATCTGCGATAGGAGCCAAGGAAGCAGAAGGAGAATGAGCGTCCACCAATGAGACAACCTTTAGAGAGTCAATTTTCACCACTGAAATCCTTCAGTTCATACGTCGAACAAAGCGAATGCCTTCTAGGACAACTAACAGCTCTGTATGATCCACAGACATAGGACCCCTAATCTCTATAGAGTAGAAACCAATCACATGTCCATGGTGATCCCGAATAACACCTCCCAAACCAATAATATCTCCTTCCAGAGGAATAACAGTATCTGTGTTGAGTTTCAGCAAACCTGGAGCAGGGGATACCAAGCAGAAAGTCATTTGGAAGGGGTGACAATGTCACGGGAGAGGCCTCTAACTCTATCCCCTTCCTCCACAAAATAGAGAATCCGAGTCAACAAGACCGAGGCCTCTCTAACACCACCACCATGAGAGCGCATATTTCTTTCCCCCATATAAACCACATGGTTGTGAAAGCCAAAGCCAGAGAGTCCCCAGGCATACAAAGATGAGATGGAAAAGAAAATTACCACAATACATGCCTCGAAAACTATTAATCACTTCCCAAAGATCTAAGGACTCCCACACTAAACGAGCAAAGAAGTAGACAGTGAAGATATGAAGGGCGGTCTCAAAGGCAGTAGAGCAAAGACGGCAACTAGGGGTACAGAGATCCCCTTGCGAGATAAACCAGTTGAGTTGGGGAGAGCATTATAGAACAGATGCCAAAGGAATACTCTAATCTTCGGTGGGATCTCCGCATGCCAGATCAAGGACCACTACTTCGCTACCCTAGAATTCGAGGTGGAAGCAGTATCAGGCATAATGCGGCGAAGAAGTCGGTATCCACTCTTGACTGTGTAGCACCCCTTCTCCTCATAATGCCAAATGAGTCTGTCGGGGATAGGAGAAGGCGGCAGTGGGATAAATGAAATGTCCTTCCGATCTACCTGCCAAAAGGAGGTAGCAATCAGCTCATGATTCCAAGTACCCGAAGCAAAGATCAGCCCAGCCACCCTTTTGGAAGGGTCGATCAGAGAAGTGATTGGCTTGAAAGAAAAGGGCCTTGGGATCCATGGGTCAGCACTAATAGAGACACCCTGGTCATCACTTATCCTCCATCTCAAACTTCAAGCCAGGAGCTCTCTCCCCCAGATAATGCTTCGCCATAAATAAGAGCAGTCAGGGCCGACACCAGCTGAAAGGAAGTCCGAGTCCTTGAAATACTTCCCCTTCAAAACCCTACTAGCCAGAGAAGAAGGGTCCTGAATGATTCTCCATGCCTGCTTAGCCACCAATGTTTGATTAAACATCTGTAGATCTCTAAAGCCTAGATCACCCTCTGACTTTGCACGACACACCTTTTGCCACCTAACCCAGTGAATCTTTCTCTCACCAGAAGTTGATCCCAACCAGAATCTCATAATGATAGACTCAATCTCTCTGTACAAAGAAATTAGAATGCGAAAGATACTCTTCACACAGCATGGGATCGCCTGCAAAATAGCTTTCACCATAACCTCTCGCCCCTCAGCTGAGAAAAGAGCCCTCCTCCAAGCTTGGACTCTTTTCCAAACTGAGTCTCTAATTGAAGCAAAAGTCTGACTACGGCTTTTTCCAACCACCAAAGGGAGGCCTAAGTACCGATTATGTGACTGGGCCTTATCAAGCCCCAAGACAGAGAAAATAGAGGCCCTAGTATCCTCATCTACACAGGGGCTTAAGGTGATGGCAGACTTCTGAAAGTTGACTTTATGACCGGTTGCAGCCTCATATAGTAGCAGAGTACTCTGGACAGCCTGTGCAGCGGCCTGGGAAGCTTGAATAAAAACTAAAGAGTCATCTGTAAAGAACAAGTGAGAAATCCTTGACCCTGACCGGGAACAATATAACCCTTTGATGCACATGTTCTCCTCATGTCTGATGATCAATGCCGAGAGAGTTTCCGTGCAGAGAAGAAACAAATATGGAGATAGTGAGCATCCTTATCGTAGACCACGAGTAGGAGTGACCTGGCCCACAATCTGCCCATTAAGACAGAAAAAGAGTGAGGAAGTAGAGATACAGTCCAAGATAAGATGCCTCAAATGATCTAGAAATCCCATGACCTGAAGGGCCTTGTCAATAAACCCTCATTCCACTATATCATATGTCTTACTCGTATCCAATTTCAGTGCCATATGGCCAGACTGACCTCGTCTCCTTTTTTGCAATGTGTGGAAAAGTTCAAAAGCAATAATGACAAATTGATCTCCCTAGGACAAAGGCACTCTGAAAGTGTCCGATCAATCTGCCAAGAACTCGCTTCAGCCTATTAGCAATGGTTTTCGTGACAATCTTATAAACCACATTACATAGACCAATGGGTCTAAAATCTGTCATAGTCTTAGATGAATCCTTTTTGGGGATGAGAACCACATTAGTTTTATTCCATGACCTGATAGACGAGCTCCCATTTAGAATCTTCAAACATGCAGCCGAAATATCTGGGCCAATAACAGACCATTGGGACTAAAAAAAGGATGCATGGAAGCTATCTGGGTTGGGTGCCTTAGAAGGGCCCATAGATCGAAGAGCACCCCATACCTCATCACTTGTAAAAGGCTCAGAAATGATCCAGAGGTCATCTACTGAAAACTTAGAATATATAACACCACACATCTCAGCCAAAACCTCCTCTGAAGGAGTGGAAGAAGAAAATAGTTTTGAGAATACTCCTCAATAAGCGTTACAATTCCCACCTGATCCTCCACCCAAGTGCCATTAGGATAACGTAGACAACTAATAAAGTTCTTTCTTCTCCTAGTGGAAGCTCTAATATAGAAGAATTTGGTGTTACAGCCTCCGTCTCGGAGCCAATCAACCCTAGCTCGCTGTCACCAGAAGCTCTCTTCCCTATACTCAAGAACCTTCCTCTCCTTCTCAAGTCTTCGGATCTCAGCCACACGATCCACCACATCAGGAGAAGAGTAGAGAGACTGGAGCTTTCGCTAAATAACTGATAATATGTGCCTCCATCTACCAAAACGCTCTTTGCTCCAACTACTGAGATTTGTAGCACAAGACACTAGTTTCTGACAAACTGATTCACACAGACCCTGTTGTGTGGAGATCGTAGGCCAGACCCTGCTAATAACATCACTCAAATCATTCTCTTTGAGCTAGAAGGCTTCAAAGCGAAAGGGACAACCATGACTAACTGGAAGGGGGCGAGGAGCAGAAAAATATAACATAACAGGACGATTGTCAGAAACAGATAAATTCAAGTGGTGTACCTCAGCAGTGGGAAATATGTCACGCTAGTCAGAGTCAGCTACCATCCTGTCCAAGTGTGTAGACGGTAAAAAAATACCTCTATGGGTCTACAGGGAATTTGTCTAGGAGAAGAGTTCGCACGCCCAGTTCTCTGACACGAACCTAAACCGCGTAGACGTCGACTGGGCTCAAATCCAGGTTCGCCTAACGGTCGACTCGCCAGCATGAGTCAGGAGCGATCAGGATGGCGGAAATTTGCTCTTCGCTCAACTCGCCTGCCCGAGTTCGGAGTCGAATCCGCCAGCAAGCCCCAAAACCGTCAGTACAGCTGGGTATCCACTACCCCACGTGCTGAGGTGGGCCTTCCCACCTCTCTCGACCCAAAGGGAGAGAGAGCACAGTACCCCAGGGCCGTCAAAACGGCCGCCCACAGTGCGCACAGCGCGAAGGAGCTGGACAGGTGTCGAGTCAACCTGAGCATTCATAAATGCGACTCACCTCGGCTGTCTGAGTCTGGAGCTGGGTCCGCCGGCACTCGGCAAGCTGGCTAGACTCACTCGAGTACTGTACACCTACTTCACCGCCTCTCCTGACCGGAAAGGAGAAAGCGTCGTGCTCAAAGCACGCCGGGCGGTCACGCACAGTACTGGTGATCGGACAGACGCCTCATCGATCTGCGGACTCATAAATGCGGTTCATTAATGCTGGTCAAATCCACTCGGATAGTAGTCGTTTGTTGCCTCACATACAAGAATGGGCCTTCCCATCGTAGGTGACAGGACATAAAGCACAATCCCTGGAATGACCGATCATGGTTTCGAGGAACAGCTAGACGTCTCTGAAGAAGATGTGGTCACATCCCACAATTCAAGGAGGAGTCAAGTTGTCCTTCTCCCATTTAAAAGCCTCTTCCGGCACACTGGAGAGGAGGTCGCAAAACTTAGGAAAAAGAGTTGAGACCAAGCTCTCTGCACAACTTT